CTCTTGAAGAGATTGGGACAAGGTGTATTTATAGGCTCCATTAGGGACATAAAGGATGCGCTAAATATGGTTTTATCTCATTATGTTAAGAAATCCTAATTCTACTCCATATACTTTTCCAAACTAGGATATAATTCATTGTACTATCTATTACCTTCTAGAAGACTCTTTAGTAACCTAACCCTAGATAATATTCTAGAAGGAATATTCCTCTCCTAATGGAATATTAATTATGGAATAAAATTAATTCCTTAATCTAAATAGAAATAAATAATAAAACATCTCACTAGAGTAATATTATTGCTCTCTCGATTTAGCTCCTAATTTATTCAATGAATTCCAACCTCCACTTGATTAATAAATATTAATCTAATTGACCAATTTACCTCCCTATGTTTAAGATATAAGGTTCGTCGATTATTTAATTACTGACAAAGTAATTAATAAACTTCTTATTCATTCCGAATTAGTACCACTCAGTTCATTAATCATTATGTCGGATAATCATCCACTTGCAGGGTTTGACAAAATATTCATTCCTGGGCTTATTTCGGGGACATCATCAATCCAACGCACTGGAACATAGTGATCGTAAATAATTTATAACGGCACATCATATAAACACCCTTTTTACCAAAATATCGAGTATGTCATCCTTACAGAATAGGAATCACCCTTGGTAAATCAAATAAACAAGTAATGAATATACATACCCGTTTTATATTACGTTACAGCTTACGAGGACGCACCAATAACCGAAGGTCTTGATTACAACAACGATCAGTGAGTCTCATAATCTTATTCTTATGCGATCTTGTTCAATACTTATCGTAAGTACTAGTGTTGCTCTCCAATCAAAGACAAACTGAATCAAGAATACACTATTGTCTTATCGTAAGTACTAGTGTTGCTCTCCAATCAAAGACAAACTGAATCAAGAATACACTATTGTCTTTTTCCAATATGGGTCTCACTGCATGTCTAGACTGTGAACGAATAATTTAGTCTTATAAGGAACGATAGGTGATCTTTCTGTTCGAGACACCATAAACCACACTATCACAATGTAAGACAAGATGTATGATTGCATAAATAAATCAATTGCAAACATATGTACTTTGACTAAAACATGATGGCTAGATCAAAATAGAATTGATAGAATCTGCAAAACATAGCTTTTACAGCAAACCTCAAACACCAAACCCATCTCCGATCCACTCACCTCCAACCGAGATACCAACGAACCAGCTTCCCAAACCATCACCACCCAATCTCATCTAACACCACTAGATGAACTCGAGAGTGTCGGACCCCCGTCGTCCCCAACACCAGAGGACTGGGGGTGGGATCTGCTCGGTGCCACAACTCCAACTAATCGATGCAATACATCACAGTCGTCAGAGTCTCGCCGCTTCCACTGATACACTCGCATCCCAACACTCCAAAGTCAGCTGACGATCAGAGCCACAAGACCTGGGATCCCCACCTAAAAAGGGAAAGCCAATCAAGCCCCGACCCATCCAAAGCAGCAAATCCCAAGCTCAAACGAAGGGCAAACCATCCAAACGAGGACCCATCGGAGATCGAGGGAGGACCACCAGTCTCCGACCGAGGCCGCACCATCGCAATCGAAACCAAGTCGGGACCCCCAATCACAAACTATCAGAGAAATCGGAAACATACGAGACAGGGGCGGGCCGAGCGGTGGAAGGCGACAACTGGCCCGAACTACGTCAGTGTCGAGGAAGGCAAAACGACGAGAGGAAAGATGAAACCGACGACGAAGGATGGCCTAGGGTTATTTGGAAATTAAGAAGCGCGGATAGCTTCATTTTGAAATTTGAGAAAATAAACAGCTTCTTATTTGTAAATTAGGGTTTTAATTTAAGTTTAATGCTTTTGATTTGGAATTGGGGCTTTCTTATTTGGGAATTAAGGTTATTTAATTTATACTATCTGATGTAGGTCGAATTGTGGTCCTTGTGTGGAATTTTTTAATTTGAAAAGCATTAATGTTGTTTGTTGGAAGAATTTGTGGTCCATGTGTAATGTGGTCTTTGTTGTCTGTTTAATTGTAAAGGTATGGTGTGGTCCATTTTGTATAGAATGTATTGATGTATATAGTATGAAATAGGAATTATTCATGCTGTTTGTAGGGATTATCCTATTTATATGTTGAATTTGTGGTCATTGTAAAATGGTTTAGGAAAAATTTTACTTTTGGTCCATTAAATTGGCCACTTTCTAGATTTGGTCCACCAATTTGGCAGACATCAAACTTTATACATTAAATTGGAAAATTCATCACTTTTAGTCCACTAATCCCTCGGGACGGATTACGAGCCTACGTGGTGTGATTCTTAATTTCTAAGTCATTACGCGAAAAAATTAAATTCCATGTGGACGATGATTGGACGATTACGTGGATAAGTAAACAAGACTATATTTTTTAAAACGAAATTTTGAAATCAAAATTCAGAAATCGAAATCCCAATTCTAAAACCCTAACGACGAAAATTTGCTCTCTCATTTATCGACCTAAGAACAATGAAAAAATCTCATCGAAAGCTGAGTACTATCGAAAAAATAGCTCAAGGTTTGTCTGTTCCAGGATGTGAAATGAAGCTAAGGAGGATTAGAGATCATCATTTACGCACTCCTAGATATGGTATGTAATTTTGTTTGATTTATGCGATAAATTGGTTGGTGTGTGTTGTAGGATGTGTCTTTGCATTCATTGAGCTTTGTTGAATAACAATATAGGACCATGTGAGATAGGAGAATCTTGAACAACTTTTATTTTTTTTTATCTTTTTGTTTCAATTCTTTACCTTATTTAATAGCTGAAAATGTTGAAAATGGTGAAAGGAATAAAAAATTTATTGTTTGTCTACCTTTTCAGGATCTCAAAGTAAATATATGACCGTGAGTTTTCATTATGGGGGGACATTTTATATTGAAGTTCAAGGTTCAGCCTACCTAGGTGGGGAGACCATAACATTTGACTATGTGGACTATACAATTGTGACTTTGGATGATTTCAAGTCCATTGCAGAAAGTAAAGGTATTTCTAAACCTTTGAGGTTTTACACATACATGGAGGATTTGCAATTTATGTTGATTACTACAGAAAATCAGTTTCAACAATATTGTGGAAAAAAACTGCAAATTAATAGAGAGGTTGGGTTGTTTGTTGAAGAAGTCCAAATTGCAGGAGGGTGCAATAAGGGGGCTGGGGAGGCTAGTAATTTGGATGTCAGGGGAGAAAATGAGGGGGTGGAGAGGCTAGTAATGTGGATATCAGGGGAGAAAATGAGGGGGCTGGGGAGGCTAGTAATGTGAATGTGGATGTCAGGGAAGAAAATGAGGGGGCTGATGAGAGTGAAGAACATAGTAGTGGAAATGATGATGAGAGTGATGAATTGTTTGAATGGGAATATGATATGAGGGAAGATAAGTTAGATGATAAACTTTTTGATGAAAATGTTGATGTTGATGCTGAATGGTTAGGATCTCATAATGCTGTTAATGATACTTATTCAGATGAGAATTGGAATGAGAATGAGGGACTTGGTGATGAACAAGAAGTTGTTTACAATGAGGACTTGCACAGTGAATGCATTTTTGATGAAGAAAATGAGAGGGTCAAGTTTCATGTGTTTAACTCTATTGAATTATTTGATCCCACTTTTAAAATGGGCATGCTTTTCAGCTCCAAAACTGAACTGAGGACAACTATACATTCTAGGGCCATTAAATGCAAAAGAAGTGTGAAAATTACTAAGAATGATAGCAAATATGTTCATGCCAAGTGTCTTGACAATTCTTGTAATTGGAAACTTCATGCTGCCAAATTAGGAGATGACCAAGCCTTCCAAATCATAAAATATACTCCAAGGCACACATGTGCAGAAACAGGGAAGGTTAAAAATATAACTTCTACTTGGTTAGCTTGCAAATATGCAAGTGAGTTTAATGATGATCCTGATAGAAAGATCAAAGGATTCAGGAAGTCTTTGGTGAGGGAGCTGAGGGTGCATGTTAGTAATCAACAGGCATATAGGTGTAAGTTGAAAGCAGTTGCTGCAAACCAGGGATGCCCTACTGATCAATATACTTTACTGTGGGATTATTGTGATGAACTTAGGAGAACAAATCCTGGTAGCACAGTGGTTATGGGTATTGATGAGAGTAGTGGTGAGAATCTGTTTGAAAGGATGTACATTTGCTTGAGTGCTCTGAAGGTGGGGTTGTAACACCCCGCCTAGACTTACTAAAATCAGAGTAAATTTTTCGCGCTATAAATGGAAAGCTGTTATTTAATTTTCGAGAACTCATATTAATTTTTTCGAAAATACTTTAACTTTAAAACGCGGGATGCTACTCAACTTTAATCTTATATCTTTATCTCTTTAATCTATCATGCATGCGACCATGTAAATTCATTCTAGAATTAAGGCCATGAATAATACCGGATAAAACATGCATATTCTGAAAATCTGACATAATCTGACATCTGAAATAATAGTCTGAAATCTGACATCTGAAACACAAGTCTAACATACGGAAGCAAGTACAAGTTCAGAAAAGCACACAAGCATAAAACAAACATAGATAATTCAAACATGTTCAAATACTATATGACATGTTTTCACAAAAATGTCCTGAAGCTTGACCAACACCACATAACTGCTCACGCTCCACTCGGGACTCCATCACCTGAAAGATAGGGTAGTGGGGAGGCGTGAGCACAAAAGAATCAACGGTGCTCCACCGGAACCGGCACTGAATACTCAGCACAATTAATAACAAACTATGAAATCAACATATATATGAAAAAAATTGGTCTGGCAATGGGACTAACGGTAAATCGGTACTCATGTACACATTTTGGGGGTCCCCTCCCACAGAAATCCAGGCTGCGCATCGCCCACTCATCTGGATGCTGGACTTAGGCTGGGCCTCACCCACTCATCTAAGTCATAACTGACATCTGACATCTTGACCAAGACGGGATCACTCATCCGTCTCGGTCCTTCAATTTAATCACATATAGATCTCAGACATGGTAAATTGTTAAAAGCGATGAAATACACAGTACATGGTCCCCACCTAGAAAACGACGAATGCGTATGCTGAAATATCTGAAATATGTTGTGTAGCAGGCAGAGGCTCGACTCTCCTCAAGCTACAAATTATGAGCGAAATATTCTAAGTACTAGGCTCAGAATAAAATTCAAATCTTTAATATCTGTTGTCTAGGTTCGCTCACTCTGTTTTAAGAAATCATTTTAGGGATTTACGAGCTGATTTTGAAAATATTATTGTCTTTGAGGCATTCTAGAGTTCTCTGAAATATTTCTAAGTCTGGAACTAAAATCTGACTGAATCTATCTGGATCTTTAATCTATCTAGAATCTGAACATTATTTGAAATCTATCTGAAATATAGATCTGAAATTCTATCTCTGAAACTCTACCTGAAATATATATCTGAAATTCTATCTGAAATATATTTATGAAATTCTTTCTGAAATATATATCTGAAATTCTCTGCGAACCATCCGGCCTGCCCAGACTGGTTCGACTGAACTGGCCGACGGCTCACTCTGAGCCAGTCGATCATTCACTTGACTATGTGCAGCTCGGTTTCACCGTGGTCCGGGTTCGGCGTGGCAACTCGGGCCGACACGAACTCGACTGACACGGCTTAGCCGATGCACGAGTTTGAAACAGTGCCACAGTCACTGAAGCAGGGGCGTGCTTAGACCACGGCTAAGGAATACGGCGCATAGACGGTAGACGGATGGACTCGGGGCACGGGCACGCACTCGGTGGTTTGACTCGGACTCGGTGCACGGGCACGCACTCGGCGATTCGGCTCCAACGGTCAGACGATAGGCGATCACGTGCGCGAGACGACGATACGCATTACGAATTGATGATAAGACGGCTAATAATTATCTAGACGGTACTAGGGCTCAATCATTTAAAATTGGATCCAGAAATATACGCGGTTATCAGAACCGGATAAAACTAGGGTTCGATTCTCGAAATTCCTAACTCATTTAAGGCTGATAATTAATATATATATTCTATGTGATTTATTGGATTTTATAAATCAACAACTGCAGCTAAAATCATATCCGACTACTTTCTAAAATACCGCATTCCTCGGCTAAAGTCCCGATCTTATAACTAAGTCAAACGGTATCCTAAATTTATGAAATTCGAATCGTAGCATCCTCAATATATGTATGGTCCAAGGTCAAAAAATTAAGTCCAAGTTCAACTCCTAGACTAGTCAACTCCACATCGCTACGGCCGGTCAACGCATTTGACCGACTCGTTTACCTACCAAACCAAGTCCAAAAATTATCAAATTTTAACCTACGTCTCAAGACAATGCAACA